ACTTTGTGTTATCACTTCAGTCATAACATTATTTCTGTAACTACTGCTTGTACAGAGATAAGGTGAAAAAATACCGTCATTTTTAGGGGTTTATAGTAATATTTAGCTTTTCACTTAGCAAAGCAATAACAATGTTTCAATGGTTTCTTTATTACAGTATCAACACTGGGTTTGTTTTTCTTCTCGGATCAACAATCTGACCTCAGCAGGGAATATAAGGCAGTATGTGTGGCCACATGCATGTGTTCTTGGTTCAGTTAGTTTCAGTTTATACAGGGAGATTTCAAAATATCCCCTGAGTCATTCACCTTTCCTGCTGTTTCAGATCGGTGTAAAGATAAATGAGCTTTAAAATCTCATCTTAAGCTGTTTTAAATGTTTAGAAGCTTATCTTGTTTCTACAATCATACAGGGGTATCACATTTAATAAGGGGCACTCAATCCAGAGACCACCAGCAGGACTTGCACTTGAGTTTTGAGAACTTCGAATGCATTTGATAAATGAAACAGTGATGCTGAGGCGTTTGCACCAAATTGAAGTAATTCAACATTATAAGGGATTCAATTTTTTATGTAACGATTGCTCCCCAGGTGACAGCCATGTCTTATGTGCCTGGATTAAATATTAAACCGATTCCAGCTGGGAAAAAAAAAGAGCACATCCACAGTAAGATATGCAGTGAGGCCTGGAGAGGGCAGCTGCAAGCTTTGACACAACTTATCTTAGACTGAAACTAAAACTTCCCCTCAACTGAACAGAAAAGAGAGTAACTACTAATGTTGCACTGGTAGCGATACCAGTATCAGGCAGGGCCCCAATCCAGCACTAAAATGGTGGTATCGGAAAGTACCAACAAATAGGGCACAGATACTAACATTTTGTTTCAACTATTGTCAACCATTCCAGATAGGCAATAAAAATTTCTACTGAATTCACTTTGTATTTGTCTTTTTCCTGCTTCACAAAGGAAGGCAGCAGCTTCACAAAGCCATGATGGCAATTATTTTACTTCCAAGTAGTATGCAATTCTTCTTATATACACACACATCAATTTCAAACAGATGGTATTGGTATAGTATCGGCAGATACTGCACAGCCAGGTTTTGGGTATCGGGGCCATAAAATTGCATTTGTGCAACACTAGTAGTCACCAGTGTTGCACCGGTGCAACACAAGTGGTCACTAGTGTTGCACCGGTGCAACACTAGTGACTACTAATGAGGTTTACCAAAACATTTAACAGTAACTTATCAAAGTTGGCTTTCAAGTGAAACAGAAACATCTCACTGTGCATATGGGGCTTCATTTCATGTATGCTTCTTTTAATATTTTTTTTAGTTCTTTATCCTTTAAAACAACTAGTTAAACCAGTAGTTGTTAAATTATCAGCACTTTAAATCTTTTTATAATATTAAAAGACATTATTGGCCAGAGTGTGTTTCTGTTCTCATATTATTGGACCTAGTGGACCATGCATGCGGGAAAGGTTTCAACACTCGGTTTTTAAAGTATTTCCTGCTCTTAGTGTTCCCCTGACAGTATTGTTTGCTATGTATGCTCATCTGGTATTTCCCCCCCTATGATTAGTCAAATCTTTATCTCCTGATCTTGGAATCCCTGGTGGATCGGCAAGTAAAACATCCTGTTTTACTTGCTTTACTTTCCCTGCTTGCTTTCATGCATAAGGAACCCTGATGAAGTATTGAGCGGAAAACTGCAGAGCCTATAATTTACAAAAAAACAATATCACGGAATTGGTCTTATGTGAAATTTTAATTTTCTGTTTTTTTCTATAGCTGCATGTCATAATCACTCCAATTTAACAGAAATAGAGCTTCAATGCATGCAACTTTCAAATGCTAATGCCACACTTAGAATCAGCTTCACATTCTCAGTTTTTTGCCATTTTGATTAATGAATCCATGTTAAAGGAGGAACACACACCTGCTTGTAAAACTGCTATTGAGATATCAGCTGTCCAAATAATAATAATGATAATAATGAAGCTCTACACATCAAAAAGAACTTATAGTAAAATCATTTGAAATTCTAATCTTATCATTTAAGAAAACAGGTTTTAATATGAAGCTAGAATGGCAACGTATTTCCTAGGATGTAAATAGTTTATTAATTCTTAATAGGATTCTCTTATGCTTGTAAAGTACAGGTTGATTACTGGACTTAAGCCACACTCTCAAGATCAGAAACTGTATTTAGGAATGTGTAATAGACAATTAAGTCATAATTAAATCTGACAACCACATAACCTCCACTGGCTTGACTTGGCTTTTTTCAAACAGACAACATGCAGACAATTCAATTAAACTCAAAAATATTTTATTGATCAAAAAGTGAAAAGAAATTATATATATAAAAAAAGTTTTTTCAATGAGTCTTTGTATATGTTTAGAGTTAATAGATTAAAAGGACCTTCTGTAGTGGTCTGTCTAGCACCGGATTTTGAAGATCTTTAAAATGGACTTGTCCTTGCTGGAGCCCATAATGATTGATAGAAGAGATGGCTTGAATTTCCTCCTTCTCTTTCTTGTCCTCGTTGCTGCTCTACTTCTTCCACGTCTGCTTTTCAACTCAACTGTAACCTGCTGAAGTAGTTGAAGTAATAATTAATTGTTTGCCATGTTAATGACCTGCTCCCAGGTGTATGAAAAACAATTTGCAGTGGTTACTCATCATGTACTCAATTTCCAAGAATGAAAATAAATTGGCAAAAACCCTTTCAGTGCCACAGCATCCAACACCAGAGATAAAAAATAAAAAAAACTTTAGAAAAAATAGACTTTTATTCACAAATGGAGAAACTTAAGTCCTTAAAAAACAAACAAACAAAAACAAACAAAAAAACAACAACAATACACAATAACCTGATTGACGAAAAAGGTTCACCAAAAGACAGAAATCATACTAAAAAGAGATTTTCCAACCACACCAGGATGGAAAACTACCAGGCAACACCAAGGAGAGACAACAAAAAGATAATATGGAATCTTTTGCAGGGTAAAGGTCTAGATTTTGTCATCGTGCTTCTTCCATAACAGGATCTACTTGTGTTGACAACATAGATACCATATCGGTAAAACAAGCTGGGCACCATATGTGGGTCATAGCTATATCTCAAACTTTTGCACTATTTATTTAGAGCCATAAAAGTTGGAGCAGTCATGGTCTACATAATTTTAGTGCACTTTCTACTAGAGGTGCACTGATTTATTAGTTGACCAATCAATTTGCCCTGATTTCCTTTATTTTGATAGGTGAGGGATTGGCTGACACCTAGATATAAAACCGATCTTAACCACCTATCTTACCTACCTCTGAAAAGGTATAAAAATAGGCCACTGTCAATGCTCTAAACTTTTAATTTATATCTGAAAGTGTTGTGATATGCAAATAAAATAAAGTTTCCTAAAGAAAATATGGGTTTTGATCAAAATTCAAATTTTCATTTTAGGCTTTTTAAGAATCGTTATCAGTGATCGACCAGAAAATGACATTTGATGCACATCAACTTCCTACTTTTCTCTTTCATGACAAACTTTATGAATTGACATAGCAACTGTCCACACTGAGGATATTAATCCTAAAATCAGCTGCTTTGATGCAGCAAATCATGCATAATGAGCTCAATCATTGAGGGGATATTTACACAGCATATAATCTTCACTGGTACGTCATTTCTGCATTGGTCCCAATTGATATTTCAACTTTTTTTTGTAATACAGCTAAATCAGTGCTTCCCAAATATTTTAGGCTGTGACCCATAAAAATTATAATTAAACAGACTGGAGAACCCCTAAAATAAATATTAATTAAATGACTTTACTCTATATTTATTAATGCATATAAACTGAAGTGAGTATATACAATTTTAGCAAGATGTATTTTTTTTACTGAAATAGTAGTCTTATTTTTTTAATGTATTTCTTTGGATGTTTCCTTATTAAAATATGCATTTTACAATTCATTTAATATTTGAATTGGGTAAATAAATGTTACATATACTTATTTCATGGGACATTCATAATGTTATTCCTTCCATACACCTCAGGGATTACATGGCACTGATTGTAAGAACAATTTTAGGACCTTCCATGTGTCTCCTGATCCCCGTTTGAGTCATGACCCAAACTTTGGGAACCCATGATCTAAATGAACATAAACAGACCTTAGAGCAGGGGTCTTCAAAGTTTTCCAGGCCAAGGACCCCAAAACTGATGGTGAGATGGAGCAGGGACCCCCCTAATTAAATATATTGCATGAAATTGTGTTATATCAAACTGGTCCTATAGTCACTCTATTACAGATGGTGTCATGTAACAAAAATAATTTCTCCCTGGGATTATTAAAGTATTTCTGATACTGATTCCTCGTTGATGGGACAGGTGTTGTGAATGAAACGGTGCCCAGCTTGAAAGAGCTCACGTGTGTCTCTGAATGTGTGCATTGATGACTGAAAGACATCTTCTGCCTTCTGTTTACTTGAGTGTGTTTAATTCATGTTAATGTGTATTTAAAGACATTTCAATTAGTGGAAAAAATTGCAGGGGGGAATATAAAAAAGTCTGATCAACCAAAACTTTCATGACCCCCATTGCAGTACCTCTGTGGACCCGCTAGGGGTCACGGGCCCCCTTAATAAGACCTGCCATAGAAGTAAAAATTTGGTATTAATCTTTTTTATCTGAAGTAATGGGAAAAAAGTTAACTTCTAAAGATGGAGCGATAAAGGAGCGGCTCTATGTTTGGTGCAGCAGATGGAGGAGGTTGCCTGCGGCGTTATACGCGCAAAAAGCGCCTCTCCAAGCACTATTGCCTTTAGGCTGCATCAGCAGTGTCATGCACAGATACTCAGACAGCGCTCAGCAGCAGGGGTCGCTTGTAACAGCCCCTATCAAACCACCGCCTCACCTCCACGGCGGCGTGATCACAAGAGGAGGAAGGTTTCACCTGAGCGCCGCGGCTCGAGCGCTGATTGGTCCGCTGGGAGTCCAACCCTAGGGTGACGTCAGCAGGACTGCTGCGGGTGAGTCTGCCTGTCAGAGAGAGGGAGGGAGCGCTCCGATCAGCAGCAGCAGCAGCAGGGACAGACAGGACGGACGCAGTGACTGGACCTCACCGACCGACCCGCACTTTCACCGGTAAGGAGGACTCACCCTGAACTCTCAGCAAATAACTTTATCTGTTACTCTCAGAGGAAGCCCGCAAGGCGTGGCTTGTCTTTTTTTTATTGCTTTCTTTTTTTATTATCCCCACGCAACATTTAACCAGCTTTTCTTTTAAATCTGCTTATGTTTTATACTGCGCTTCATGGACATATGTTAATAAGTCAAAATGTGCTAGAAAGTCATCTTCTAAGATCCTAATAAGGTCATTAGTCTGCTTTTAAAGAGGACCTCTGTGTAAGGGGCAACTACTGAGATGAAATGCGGTTAGCAGTAAAGTGAGGGCTTTCTCAGTAGTACTGACTCAGAACTACAAAAGTAATTACCAGAGAACATTTTTATAAGGGTGGCAAGGCAATAAGCAACGCACACTGAGGGGTGGCTGAAAGTGAATAGGCACCAGAACCTCAGGGCCAATATATTGCAACAGGAAAATTAACAAGCACAACAGCCATATTTTATAAATAAAAACAAACTATACTTTCCTGCAGCCTTTGCTAACAAATAGACGCATATATTCAAACATCCATGCTGTCTAGATAAAAGATATAGTGGATACACTTCTTCCAGGTGTGACTTCTGGGCCTTTGTCATTACTTACCTACTTTTGTCAACAATTATTCTAAGCACTAATATATACATAAATTGATTATTAAGTTTTTATTAAAATAGTTTTTTTTATGATTTCACTGAAGACTCCTAGATGACTTCCAGAGACAAATCATTTTCTCTTTATCCCATAGTATAACACAACATCTAGTTCTGAAAAGAGGATGAATTGATGTGCAGAGTTTCTTTTTGTCAAGTAATTGTTAAAAATTAAATATTTTAAATATTCCACTTGAGAGTATTACTGCTGCCACCATCTGTATTAAGAGGGAAAAATGGTAGGGGTGGCCAATGATTGGCCATGGCCCTCCCTGGCCCCCCATCTAGCTCCGCCCCTGCTAATTACAACCAGAATGAATGTGGTTTAAGATGGATTTAAACTCTTTTATGTGACTGCTGAGAAATACTTGAAGCTCTGAGTGTTATTAATCCGCGGCTCACTCAGTCACTGCTGTTTCAGAGTTTTTACGATGAGCATTTCTGCTCTGCTTCTAGTATTATAGCTCTTTGCTGTCCTCCTCCTCTTTCAAGTCTTCCTCTTAATTGTGAAGCGTGCTCATCAATTAATAGGCCCACATTAGAAGATTTGTTGTGCGTCATTAACACAGGCTGACCAATGACCCCCATCATCAGCCAGTGGGTACACAGGGCTGATTGATATGCAGCACTGCTGAGGCACCATGCCAGGCCCTTGAAATCTCTCTTTTTTGTGAATCAAACAACAAGTCATGATGGGAGAGACTTGAGTTAATGAACTGTGAATCATACAGTTTTTTTTTCTGTGTTGTGTTCTGGCAAATAAGGATGTTGCATTTGGCGTGTCAGAGGAAAGCCCGCTGCTCGCCCACTGCTGTGGAGGCCTTGAGGTTCTGACTTTAACAGCTTGATAATCGTTTTTAGTGTTGTTTTTTTATGAGATATGTGAATGGAGTTCTCTGTCTTGTTGACTTTGGCTGTGTTGAGCTTCTTTTTTCATTTTATCTGAATGTTTTTGGTTGCTTAAGATTTCCTCAGAAACAATAGATATCTAAGGTGATAGGATGTGAAATATGATCTGATGACTGATCATATCGGTCCAGCTCAATCATGTTACTAAAATATTTTTTCCAATTGTTTTTCAACGTGCAATGCCATAAATACCCAAACTTAACATGTCCTCTGTTGTTTTTTTGTTGTTGTTCTTGTCACAAAGATAACCGCAGTAAATACCAAGGAATTGTTTTGTATTTTTTATTTATTTTTGGCTTGCTTTCAGTGATTTAAAGTTAGATTTTCAGTTCTAAATCACAGTCCTGTTTTACCCCAGTATGCTTGGGCATAAGGTCGCAAATTGATGGTTGGACCAGGTATGGGCTGGTAACCAATTTTAAGGTATACCCTGATATGAAAAAGTCAAAGCAGAAGTTTTCTGTCATGGTTTCTGCAGTATAAGTATTTAAAGAAAAATCTCTTCAGAGATGATGCTCAGGTTGTGAGCAGCTGCAGCATCATGACCCTCCTCCCTGCACACCTCTGTGTAGCTCCAAACTTCCACCTGTCTTTCGCCCTTTACGCTCTACTGTATGTGCCCTAGGTGCAATGAAACAATGGGAACCATAAAGCAGTAAATCTAATACGGTCCTATGCATAACCCTTCACTATTAAATACCATCCATCCATCCATCCGTCGGATAGTCGAACCTCGGATTCAGGAAGAGCAGTGTGGTTTCCGTCCTGGTCGTGGAACGCTGGACCAGCTCTATACCCTCAGCAGGGTCCTGGAGGGTGCATGGGAGTTCGCCCAACCAGTCTACATGTGCTTTGTGGACTTGGAGAAGGCGTTCGACCGTGTCCCTCGGGGGGCCCTGTGGGGGGTTCTCCGGGAGTACGGGGTGCCGGGCCGTTTGATACGGGCTGTCAGGTCCCTGTATGACCGGTGTCAGAGTCTGGTCCGCATTGCCGGCAGTAAGTCGGGCTCATTTCCGGTGAGAGTTGGACTCCGCCAGGGCTGCCCTTTGTCACCGATTTTGTTCATTACCTTCATGGACAGAATTTCTAGGCGCAGCCAAGGTGTTGAGGGGATCCGTTTTGGTGGCCTTAGGATTGCGTCTCTGCTTTTTGCAGATGATGTGGTCCTATTGGCTTCATCAGGTCGTGATCTGCAGCTCTCGCTGGATCGGTTCGCAGCCGAGTGTGAAGCGGCCGGGATGGGGATCAGTGCCTCCAAATCCGAGGCCATGGTCTTGAGCCGGAAAAGGGTAGAGTGCCTTCTCCGGGTCGGGGGGGGTGTCCTGCCCCAAGTGGAGGAGTTTAAGTATCTTGGGATCTTGTTCACGAATGAGGGAAGAAGGGAGCGGGAGATCGACAGGCGGATTGGTGCAGCGTCTGCCGTGAAGAGGGCGCTGTACCGGTCCGTCGTGGTGAAGAGAGAGCTGAGTCAAAAAGCGAAGCTCTCGATTTACCGGTCGATCTACGTTCTTACCCTCATCTATGGTCATGAACTCTGGGTCATGACCGAAAGAACGAGATCGCGGATACAAGCGGCCGAAATGGGTTTCCTCCGTAGGGTGGCTGGGCTCTCCCTTAGAGATAGGGTGAGAAGCTCGGTCATCCGGGAGGGACTCGGAGTAGAGCCGCTGCTCCTCCACGTCGAGAGGAGCCAGTTGAGGTGGCTTGGGCATCTGTTTAGGATGCCTCCTGGACGCCTCCCTGGTGAGGTGTTCCGGGCACGTCCCACCGGGGGGAGGCCCCGGGGAAGACCCAGGACACGCTGGAGAGACTATGTTTCTCGGCTGGCCTGGGAACGCCTTGGGGTTCCTCCTGAAGAGCTGGAAGAAGTGGCTGGGGAGAGGGAAGTCTGGGCCTCCCTTCTTAAGCTGCTGCCCCCGCGACCCGACCCCGGATAAGCGGAGGAAGATGGATGGATGGATGGAAGATCAAGCTACCTTTATTTCAGGCATTAGTGAAAGAAATCCCAGCATTTTACTGAGGCAGACAGCTTGGCGATTGTGCAGCAAAACAGCCCAAAACCATCACAGTATCACAACCATATCTGATTGCCATTTATATTTAGAGATGGACTGCTACCTTGGATATTTTGCGCCACAATTGGCATTTTTGTTCTTGTGACGTTATCGGCCGACATGTGCATGTGTTCACCGATTCCTTGGTGTGTTCAGGAGCATTCCCTAAGATCATAGAAGGCACATGCATTGCCACTCCTTCCATTTGCTTTCTGTTGTTAACTTTTTGTTTAATTTGTTAATAAATGTTTTTTTTTGTTTGAATTGAGGCTTGAGTAACATTTGTTATGATTGTAATTTGGCATTATGGACTCCAAGAATCAGCCAAAAATACTGGCAGCACAAAAACGGATATAGGTTGGACTATTTCAAAATAATGGTTATCAGCCTTAGACAACATTATCGGTTGATATCTTATGTTGTTCTTATTGTAAAATTCCATCTTAGATTTACGAATATAATGGGACACACCCTTTCATAAATTTCTACTTCTGTTTCATCAATATCTAACCAAATATTGTGAAAAATCAGAAGGAAAATCAGAAAAAAACCTTTATGTACATTTAGTTTTTTTTCTATTGGAGCTCTCCCATGTATACCAGTCACCCTCCATCAATCTCTCTGATTAAAAAAAAAAAAAAATTATGATAATTTTTAGATGCATTTCATGCTTTTTCTGGGGTTCCTCTTCAAGATGATTTGTAAATGTTCTCTGGCATTTTTGTTCTATTATTGCTGCAAGGACCTTTCATAATTGTAAATTTGAAAAAAAATATTTACATGATAAAAATATAATTCAGCAATGAAACTCCTTAATATAAAATGTTTTTTAACAATATATTCTTTCAAAAAATATTTTTAGTCAATTTCTATTATTTTTGATTTTGCATATTGTAATTTTTTTGAAACCTATATAAGCTGTATTTAAAAAAAAAAATGAAAATTTGTTGTTTTTTTTTAAATGTCTTCTCTTGCAATAGAAAAAAAATGTTGAACAGATTTAATGTACTTCCAAATGTTATTTTTTATGAATTGCATTATTTTCAAATTGCCTTTTACAGATCATATTCTCTACTCTTTTAGCCCAATACAAATGCTATAGCTCTTCACCAATAAAAATGTCGCTGCTAGCCTTCATGCAGACCAATAGAAATGCATCTTTCCTCTTCACCTGAGCAAAGCTGCCCCCAGAATTGAGGAAAATTTGATCTGTAAAATGTAATAAAAAATGCAATTTGTACAAGTCAATCGATAAAAGAGAAATTTTAAAAAGAGACCAGCCCCTCTTTGTAAGGTTAACCGCAGTTCCAATGTGTCAAAGCTTTGAACAAGACTCACTTCACAGACCGACATGTCAGGGTTTAG